ATAATGATTGTAGAAGGAAGATAAACCAAAATATGTGTGTAAAAATAAAAAAAAATTAAAAAAAAAATGTTTACCTTGTTTTATAAACTATCCTCCCGACAAGTATTTCAGTGCGGACCTGTATTTGATCGTGAGGTCCCCTGTGAGGTCTTAAGTCACCTGATTCACGAGCCCGTTGTACTACATTAACAAAGGCACGAGGGGTTGGTTGCACTAGATTGGGAAACCGATCCACATAAACATGTGCCATTTTTTATTTCGTTTGAGCCACGCAACAGACACCACTATTCACACGCGTTACCGACTGACACTGACTGTATGTATACAACTGAGTAAAATAATAATTGTAAAAGCATCGTTCCAAATTCTTTCGCTTTTTTGTTTCCCATGCGATGAACCGATAAGGCGGATTATATCGGTTGTTGCCAAACACGAGCACATGATGTTATTATTGAGACAGGGCGGTACTCAAACTTCCAAAGAGCTATAACTTTGTTACTTTAATTTTACCAGAAAAATAGTAAAGGAAAAAAACATTTCTTTTGATCAGATCTACTCACTGTTAAAATAATGACTCAACTTCGAAGTCACCCTGTATAGTACATCAACCTGACCATTAGAATCTAAAACACCTGCTAGAAATTGAGTTAAACAGACTATGTCTGTTGTTGTCGACCTTCCTTTTACAAATCCATGTTGTGCTGTAGAAATTGAAGAACTTACGTTGTATTGTATGAAATTATGTAATAACATTTCAAACGTTTTCGAAAAATTACTCACAATAGTGATAGGCCTATGGTTTTCAATTAATTTACGGCTTCCATTTTTATGGATAGGTCGAACCTTGGCTTCACGCCAAATTTCAGGATATGTATGTGATCTGATACTTAGGTTATAGATTTTAGTTAAAGGTGCAGAAAGAATAGGTGCACAAGCACGGATTAAGAATGCAGGTATACCATCAGGTCCACTAGTGAACTTGTTTTTCATTTTCTTTAATGCCATAAGAACCTCCTTTTCTGTGAAGCTATTCAACACAATATTGTTTGTAGCAATAATATCATCATCTGGCCTAGCTGCTACATTGGGGGTAGAATACACAGACTGGATAAAATTAGCGAAGGCATTTGCTATATCAACAGGGTTATTGAAAACACAATCATTGTGAGTGAATTCAGAAGGTGAAAGGCCACTTTGCCTTTTACTTTTGATGAAGGACCAAAACTGATTTGTATTTTTTTTATGCAATTTTCAGTCTGCTCTATGTACTTTTTATACGCATGACTAACGTCCCTTTTAATTTTATAATATATATTATATTCAGATATGAAAGTCCCTCACTACCGACCATTTCAATAGGTCCCTTTCCTCACACTGTATATACTTTTAGTATGAGTAGAAGTCCTCAACTTACTATGCTTTTTATTTCTATAACCAAGTTATTAGTGACTAAAAAATTCTCAAATATCGGCTTCCGGGAGCATTTTCAACAAAAAGTACAGCTCATAACATCTTAAACTAATCTTAAACATATATAGCTTATGTTTCCAAAACGATCGGTCTCCGTACTCTAGGCATCGTAACCGATCGTAAAGGATGTCAAGAACCAAAATCCGCCAACGTTGATTCTCTACTGCGGCTGAAATATTCATTTTTAGAGCGTTAGTGAATTAAAAAAAACAGTATAAAAACCGGAATGTCCAACTGATAAGGCTGAAAAATTTTTCACTTGTTATTTACAGTAAGATAAATACATTCACCAACTTTTATCAAAATAAAACCATTTAAACTGGGTGTTCGGATTTATAAGTCACTTAGTATATTTTTCAATTTATTATTGAAACTCAGGATTATAACTTCATTTCTGTAGGACTTTTATTACATTATTTTTGAGAAATCAACTTCTTTCGTAACAGTGCATATGTGGTTAAAATTTGTGATAAGTTGGGAAACACCCTTTAGATATCTGGTATGTGTTTTTTTTTTATTTACATAAGGAAAAAGCAGATCAATGCACTATTTCCCTCCAGTGGACTTATACCCTTATAAAAAATGTTTTCAGTTGACTCTCAAAAAAAAAAGTCGTCGATGGCTATAGTCTGAGTCAAAACGGCGTCCTTGAAGATTCTTTTTAGTGATCTAAAGAGATAAAAGTCAGACGGAGCCAATTTCGGATTATAGGGAGGAAGGTCTATCTCAGTCAACTAAGCTGAATTCCTGTGTTTGTCTAATTTTGGCAGCTTTATGCATGATCGCATAGTGATGTAGATTGGAAACATGGATCTTTTCTGGTTTTACGTAAATTTACAGCGTGTTTGCATGGACGTCCACATTTATTGTTGTCCCTTTTGGCATATATTCTATGAGAATGATAACCCTGTTGTCTCAAATTACTTTCTGTAATTTCGAACCTAAGCATTTCTTGTTCAGGTGTCAACAGTCGTGGAACCCACCTGGCTGACACCTTACTCATGTTCATGCAAGATGGTTATTACGCTGGGTTCTGATAGGATCAATGCCATGCTGCACGACTATCTTCGAAAAGCATGACTACATCTTTCTGTGTCATTTCATCATGTGTAGCTGTTTTGGCTAGTCAATTTCTGAGATCGTGTTCTAGGGATTCATGCACCCTTAGAAACCGTTTCGACCAGAATTTTATTGTGTAATATGATGGTGCATCATCTCTATAGACGGCGTCCATTATCTCAGGAATGATGACCCTCTTGAATCAGAAACTTTATTACACTGCGATACTCACTTATTTTTCCTAACTATTCACTTTATAAATTGGAAACTAGCTATCAAAACTAGCTCAAATTTGGCAAGTAAGTTTGGAACACAAGCCGTGCGTTTCAATTGTTCTCTTCTAGGTAAACTTCTTTTCTAGCGCCCCTCGTAGTTTGGCGGGCAGTGTTTCATGACGGATGTATAAACAAACATGCGATTATGATAAAAACAATAACAATTCTACGTGCCTTTCTGACTGACAAAAATGAGCAAATGTTAACTAAAATATAATCTATGCTTCCCAACGTGGGAATAATAAAGCATGTGTATGTGTTGAGAGTCTTATAATATTTTACCAAAAAGCCTTGGTTGAAAATAAAAAGAATTTTTTTTAATCCATTGAAACTTCTGAAAAACGATTTTGTAAAATGAGTTTGTCATCCTGAATCTCCATATGTCCTATGTTAACTTTTTTCTTTGGATCACCCAAAAACTTTGAAATGAAATAAAATTCGAATATCCTCCTCTTTTAATACCTGTACGATTTCGTCAACTTAGTGAGTTTGATAGGGGCCGTATAGTGGGACTTCGGGAAGCTGGACTTTCTTTTCGGGCAATTGCAGTTAGAGTGCAAAGAAGTGTAGACACTGTGGTTAGGTGTTGTCAGGCATGGCTTCGAGAAGGCCGTACGCAAAGAGCAAGGGGCACTGGACGCCGCTGTAGAACAACAGACCGTGAAGATCGCCGCCTAAGATTATTGGCCTTAAGGGACCGTTTCTCCACTACCAGGCCCATTGCAAATGAATGGTTTGCAGAACACGGAAGACCTATTGGCATGCGAAGTGTTTACCGACGAATGAGAAGTTTTGGCTTGTTTTCATACCGGCCACACTGGGTCCTCCCTTTAACTCGAGAACACCGACGTAATCGCCTTGAGTGGTGCAGACAACGGTCACTCTGGGATCAGGAATTGAACAGTATTGTCTTTAGTGACGAGTCTCGATTTTGTTTAGGCATGCACGATGGTCGTGCCAGGGTTAGAAGGCGACGTGGTGAAAGGAGGAATCCACAGTTTTTTGTTGAAAGACATGTTCATCACACTGTTGGAGTTATGGTTTGGGGTGCTATAGCTTATGGTTCCAGGTCACCTTTAATCTTCATCAGAGGTAACATGAACGCGCAGCGTTATATCCACGAAGTTCTAGAACCCCATCTTTTACCCTATCTTGACACCCTGGCAGATCCAACTTTCCAACAAGATAATGCCCGACCACATGTTGCAAGAGTCACAATAGACTTCTTTCAACATAATGATGTCGCATTGTTACCATGGCCACCAAGATCTCCCGACTTATCCCCAACTGAGCACGTGTGGGATATGATGGGTAGGAGATTGCTCAATTTGCAACGTCCTCCTCAGACTCTAGAAGCACTTCGAGAGGAGTTGGTGGTTGCCTGGAATGAGATACCACAGGAAGACATTGATCACCTGATCAGAAGCATGCCTAGGCGCGTTGGAGAATGCGTAGCACATCAGGGTGCATCCACACATTATTAAAGGTCAAAGGGCTTTAAAGCAGTGCAATCATTTTGAAATTTTTATCATTTACTTATTATGCTTCATTAAGTACTTATACAAAATTTTATTAAAATAAAACCATTTAAACTGGGTGTTCGGATTTATATGTCACTTAGTAGGTATATATAGATATCTGTATTTTGCGTTCATCGTCGTGATTTTAAAAATTTATTGTAGCAAATGTTGTACCAAACAACACAACACAAAATACCAGGATATTTTGTTTTTTCATACTGATAAGCACGTGTAGATAAGGTTTAATCTGTATCGATTATTGTGAAGTTAAATAAGAAAGTATTTTGCGAGTTTATATTTTTAGTTATTTATTAATAAAAATAGCACATATGTGAACTAATGAGGAGTTAGTGGACATTGTTTTAACGTACGGAGAAGCAATGCAAAATTCGCTAGCGGCTAAGAAGAAACTATAAACCAGTAATCATAATTACATTGTCGCTCTTGAAGGGATCGATAACACGTGCGTCTTTCATTTCATCGCTAGATACATTTCTTTTATAGGATCCCTCGTACTTTGCAACACATTTTTGGACAATTCCATAAATAAGGGCGCTTCTGGGAATCCCCGACGCTTTCGGGGTCCGTTACGTCGGTGAAAGGTTTTTGGAATGAACGCGCGCACATCAGTAGGTTTGCTCTGGGAATCCCAAGGGTGATGGCTACAAATACTTCGCCGGGCGACCTTCGCCGCACATTGAGTGAGTGCGAAGTGCGTGAACAGCCGAACAGCTTAACGTTCAACAATGGATAAAAAGTGTCAGGATAACAGAGCCAGCCAGAAAAATAGCAACAATCCGGAATACTGGAAAGTCAGGGGATATCAAGATCGGCCCAAAGACTGGAAAGGTAGGTTTGTTACTATGCATCGTGAGTAATGGAAGCGATTAGATGCAATTATGCAAAAAATCGGGTTAAAACGTTTTCAAAAAAAACTTATTATTTTGATCGGCTTAGTATATTGGTGAAAAGCTTACTTTAGAAATATACAACCGTAATAACAGTTTTCCTCCAAAAGTATTGAAACCATTTAAAAAGCCCTCATTTAAAGATTCCAAGAAAACGAGCCACGCTTTTTGTGTTACATAACAACCACTCGACCACTCTTGCAAACTTTAAAACAATTTAGAAATCAAAGTTTCTGAATGCTTCTATCGCTCCTACGTTACTTTTATATAAGGTTTGATCAATTGGTACTAAGACTTTATGGGACATATTAGCCAAATTTTAACAAAGCAGCATACGATTACCTGAATGACCTTCAACAAATGGTAACAACATTGATATGATATTAACAATAATGCTTAATTCTAATCTAACAAATTGTGTCATTTTAACGTTGCATTTTTCACCTTGTTGACAATTGACAGTCCACATGCGGCATACCTGATACCATGCTTCTTCATAATTTAAAGTATTTTCATACCCAATCGAATATTTTGAAAACATACTTTTACTTTAAAAAACAAAGCTGACTTCATGTTCAAATAATTAATTCAGAAGTTCGTGAATACTTCCATAAGTTGTAGAGGTATCAGAGTTACCAACATAACCGTCACATTTGGATCTAGAATACTTATGCTGCTGCAATAAATGTTGATGAAATTAAAAACACCAATTTCGATAGAGTATACAGGGTGTTTCAGTTTATTGTTGCATAACTTTAAGATTCGATAGAACTTTTAAAATTAATGCATAAAGTCTATATAAACATGGGTCGAAAAATGCTTGGCTTCCGAAATACAGGGTGTTTAAATTTACTTTCTAAAATATTGTTTTTTAAATATTTTGAACAATATTTGATGCATAACAGTGAAAATTGATATACAAGGGTTTTTTGGTACGACAAAACGAACCATGGGCATAGTTTTACTGTAGCCGCTAGAGGGCGCTCTATACTGTACCTGTAGTGTATTAAAATGACCAAAATTTTTTTCTTAGTGCAATATTTTGCTTCTTGAATAAAAAAAAACTGATTCTTCGCACTTTTCAACATAAAAAAGCTCTCTTGTGAATTTTCGTTATAGTTTGCCGTTTTTGAGATATTTTGACTTTTAAGTTTCGATGATTAGAAGTAGGCTGTGCCTGCAAATATTTTTGAAATTGAAAGCAGAATAAGGTTAAACGTCAATTTTGACAGTTAGTTTTGTTGTCTGTTGAAACCTGAAACGTTTTTTGCAATTGTGAATGCACGAAATTTAGTTTCTTTTACCTGTTTTTTTTGTAAGTTTTATAAAAATGCCATTTTTATTCTCCAATCAAGAGTTAGCGGATATTCATTTTGTGTATGGCTTTGTAAATGGAAACGCAGCAGAAGCAGCCAGAGAATACGCACGAAGATTTCCAAACAGACGTCATCCAACTCGCTCAGTATTTGTAAGAGTGCATCGCCAAATAATTGAAAATGGTTTTGGAAATCTCCAAAGGGATCAAAACATAAATGTTTGATTCTGCGTGAGTTTGATAGAGATCCGACCACAAATGTTAGGAGAGTTTCTGGTGCCTTAGTAATGTCAGCAAGCCATGTTCGTGTTCTTAGAAATGACCATAGACGTCCTTACCATTTGCAACCTGTGCAAGGACTACAGCCAGGGGACAGAGAACGAAGAATCACATTTTGTCAGTGGATTCTTGATAGAACTGATAATAATAGGGAGTTTTTAAGTAACGCTTTATGGACCGATGAGTCATGCTTCACTGGACGTGGAGTGGTAAATTTTCGTAATCAACATATTTGTTCACATGAAAATCCGCATGCAGTTAGGGAAAGAAATTTTCAACATGAATTTATTGTGAACGTGCGGATTGGTATCTACCGTAATCGACTATTTGGACCCTACCTTTTGCCTGCAAGGTTAAATGCTGCGACCTTCTTCGAATTTTTAACAGCTGAACATGCAAATATGTGGGATGATATGTTAGATTTAAGAAGATTGGCCTGATTCCAGCTTGATGGTTGTCCAGCTCATTGTTCGAGAGTAGTTAGAAACTGGCTGGACGAAAATTATCCAGAAAGATGGATCGGCCGTGGAGGACCAGTCGCCTGGCCTCCACGATCCCCTGACCTAAATCCATTAGATTTCTTTGTGTGGGGATTTCTAAAAGAAAAAGTGTACCAGACTCCCGTAACCACAAGAGATATGCTAATAGACAGAATCAGGAATGCATGTGATGAAATAAGGCCTTATTTGAATAATGCTATACCACGTTCGATCATTTGTAGATGTGAATTGTGTATTGAACAATTGGGTTTACATTTCGAGCAACTACTTTAGATTTTGTATGTTTGTCCTAACTATCCAATAGCATTTTAGTTGTAAATAATTAATTTAATTTGTTAAAAATAATATGGGAAAATTAAACAAATTAATATTCTGTTTTTTTTGTGTTTATTTGGAGTTAGGAATTATTGCTGTGTTTAAAAACGGTCATCTTAATTACTTATAATGCCCAAATCGAAAATGTAAAAAAACTATTATTTTCCCATAAATAATTAATAATGCATCGAACCTGAAGAATCGAAATACCTCAAAATCGGCTAACCACAACGAAAACTCACAGGAGAGCTTTTTTATGTTGAAAAGTGCGAAGAATCATTTTTTTTTTATTCAAAAAGCAAAAAATTGCACTAAGAAAAAATTTTCGGTCATTTTAATACACTACAGGTACAGTAGAGAGCGCCCTCTAGCGGCTACAGTAAAACTATGCCCATGGTTCGTTTTGTCGTACCAAAAAACCCTTGTATACCAATTTTCACTGTTATACATCAAATATTGTTCGAAATATTAAAAAAAAACTATTTTAGAAAGTAAATTTAAACACCCTGTATTTCGGAAGGCACGCATTTTTCGACCCGTGTTAATATAGACTTTATGCATTAATTTTAAAAGTTCTATCGAATCTTCAAGTTATGCAACAATAAACTGAAACACCTTGTATATTATTATCTTTGTAATGTTTTGAAACAGGTAAATCGTCGAAATCTACTTATTAACCTTTGAAAAAATATATGAAATCTGAATACTTGAACGTGTCTCTTTATGTCAAGAGGAAAATAATGATCTTCGTTTGGAATTTGTTACAAAAGTCAAAATGTCTAAATAGTGGTATCGATGTACGAATTTATACAATACTGTAAAAGATAACCACGATTTAGCAGGTGCAGCTCTTTTAAAAAACAAACAAAAGCTGATATTGATTAGATTTATCATCCCAAGATCCGATTTAAATGTTCACTTCATAAAGTATGTTTACTTTTTATATAAACATTTGGTCAACGATTGCACATAAGTGTCTGCTTGCGTCAAACATGGGAAGTTCTGAAATCCAATGTATATTTTGTATTTGAAACGAGACTGCTGAAGCAGCAACAGAAATAATAACACATAAGGTTATTTTTTGACGATGCTTGTATGAAGTGAGATGCGTCACAATTCATCCTCTGAGTTTTCACTGTGATTACTCGTACAGATAATTATTGTACTACATGTTCGTATCATTTTTGAGATACTGTTGGTCGATATGAGTGAAAAGGATGTTTAAATATTCTTACTATATGGAGGATCACTGAAAATCCATCAGAAACCCTCTTCCCAATGGAACGTTCGGAAAAAAAATTGTCGTTTTTTAAAATTTGTGAGTCCCATAATTTTTCACCCAGCATCACTCTGAATCGAACAAAATAAACAGCAACATACCGTCTCGTTCACGCAAATAATGGTAGGATTAAAAATTATTAACAAATACACTTTTTTGTCAATCATTCTTTCGTTCCTTATTTCACCCGTTACAAATCAAAGTGTTCTTGAAAGGGTTTCTCTGAAGCTGAACATTTTTAATTAAAAAAAGTTCCGGAAATGCAAAAGAACGCTTTTGTGAGTGCCAAATAAAACAAATAATGATAAAAAATGTATATGTTGTTTAAGGATTATTACCTATATGGTCCAAAAAGGCTACAGGCCAAACTACATATGAAAATTGCGCCCAAAGGTATCCAAATCTGGATTAATCCAAATTAGGTTGTATTGGATCAAATCATCTAAGCCAAATTTTCAGGCCGAAAATAATTTTTATGGGCGCAATTTATCTCAAAAAGTAAAAAAAAAATTACCGTCACTACATTGTTATGTCCTACATAACCGTGACTTCTTATAGATTTGTGCAACTTATAGGATCGGCAAAACTTTGTGATTGTTTTCGAATTTTTAGAAAATCACCAAAATCGGAATAACCGCATTTTCAACAAATTTCTCATACATTTTAAACGTAAAAACCTAGCGTATATACGTATTTTTTCCATTCTTTTAGATTTCTTTAATTTTTGACGCTTTTGGTTAGAACAAGTAACCCTTTGTATACATACATTTTTACGTTCTTTTCAGTTCCGTTGTTAAACTAATGCTTTCTTAATCCGGACATCTTTCAAAACTCTAAAAAAAGCGTATTTTCACCGATATTTCCAATTTTGAGTAGGTATATTTATCGCAACTTGACTGACCACAAGCTCAGTGCGCCTATGTATTTTTGTGCATCTCCCATGCTGCATTGGCAAAATTGTGATTTGTTGTCCAGAAAAGGAATACTTAGCTAATAGAGTAACTCTTTAACATTCATTTCAGATTCAGATGTCAAAAATCTCTTATCCGAAAATCTCCAAAAAAAAATTTCTAATTTTAGACATTTTCGAGTAGGATATCATTACTTTACCAACTCAATCTACGCGTATGTGTTAGTCAATAGGTTTTTGAGTTAGTCAAGCATTCATTTACTGACCTAATTGTCAAAAATTGAAGAAAATATCAACTTTCGGGCCACAAATCACAATAAACCCTGAAGGAATGCACAAAAGATGGGATGACGGCTGCTGTACTTAAAAACTGCGCTTCAGCACTGGCCCTACCATTAAGCTTGATATTCACATCGTCTTTTAGATCTCATACCCTACCCTCATGCTGGCTTAGTGCTTCTGTTACCCCTGTATTCAAAAAGGGCGACAAATCCTCCGCTAAAAATTATCGACCAATAAGTCTCGTTCCTATCGCCGCCAAAATAGCTGAAAGAATCATATTAGATAAGCTCCAGTCATTTGCTTTCGAAAATGACCTTATCCCTAAGAATCAGCATGGATTTCTCCCTGGTCGATCAATAATGACCAACCTTCTCTACTCTCTCAACGATTGGACTCAGTATCTGGACACAAAGACTCCTGTTGATATAATCTACTTAGATTTTTCTAGGGCTTTCGATCGCGTACCACATAGAAGGCTTCTGTTTAAGTTGGAATGTATGGGAATAAGAGGCGAGTTGTTACTGTGGATTAAGGCTTTTCTCACCGGGGGGACTTTCTCTGTGCGCGTCAGTGATAGCCAGTCTCACCTTCATCATGTAGCAAGTGGAGTTCCTCAAGGCTCTGTCTTGGGGCCAGTGCTGTTCCTTCTGTATACAAGTGACCTGCCCGCATTGATATCCTCCACGTGTTCAGCTTATGCCGACGACACCAAGATTTACAATACTGTCGTAAATTCTGCTATGCTTCAACGAGATCCTGATATTGTTTGTCAATGGTCAGTCAGTTGGCTTTTACCCTTAAATCTAACTAAGTGTTGTGTCCTTCACCTCGGGAAGACAAATCCGCGATTTACATACAAGATCTCTGACCACAACATCGAAGCAGTTTCGAGCCACACTGATCTGGGCGTTGTAGTCAACGATCGTCTTTCCTGGTCAGAGCATATTCACCACGTTACATCAAAAGCCAAGAAACTTCTATATATGCTGGAGAGGTCTTTCAAAGGATCCGATGTCAACACTTGCGCCTACATTTACAAGGCATTCGTGAGGCCAATTCTTGAATTCGCTGGCCCGGTATGGGACACTGTGCTTCTGCGCGATATAAATCTCGTCGAATCAGTACAGCGTCGGGCTACTCGTATCCCTTTTGGAGCACGAAGACCAAGCTATGAAGATCGTCTTGAATTATTCAACCTGACCTCATTCTCTGAGCGAAGACTTCGTGGCGATCTTATAGTTACGTTCAGGATACTTCATGGTTTGATGGGCACCAACCTCATGCATCTATACCATCTGTCGCGCAGCAATCTACGCGGACACAGCTTCAAACTGCATAAGGAGCCATTTAAAACAACAGTCCGACAGTGGTTTCTTCCCAACCGCATACTCAACACCTGGAATAGTTTACCTGAAAGTGTGGTTGGTGCTACTTCAGTTAATAGCTTCAAAGTGCAGTATGATAGCTGGAGGAGTGTACAAACTTTATAGCTATGAACTGTATTTTTTTATTTTTTTCTATTTGATGTATTTGTGTTACGTGTCCGTACACTATATTTACTGCACGAGCTTATAGTACTGTGTACTCTGCTCATCTCAATTATCATAATAATAATAATAAATAATAAAAACACATAATATGCACATTGGATTTTTGAGTCAGTCGGGGTAGGATCTCCTACTAAAAAACGTCAAAAACGCAGAAAAAATAGGTGAAAACGCACTTTTTCCGCATTTTGGCGAGTTTCCGGACAAGAAAAAAAACGTAAAAAAGCATACATACAATGGGTAACAAGGTTCAGCAACTATTACTTTCCTAACCAAAGGCGTCAAAATTTGATGGAATGCAGCCTTAAAAAATGGACAAAAATACGTATATATGTTTAGTTTTTTAGTTAGCCAACTTATACTGATAGCCTACGTAAAAATTGGAGAAACCCGGTGAAAATACGATTATTTCGAATTTTAGAGATTTTCCGGGGAAAAATTCATATTTTTTTGATCGAAAAAGAGCGCAAGAAAGCTCTAATATATATATATATATATATATATATATATATATATATATATATATATATATATATATTCAGGGTGTCCGCAAAGTTGGGGTTTTCCTTTTCAGAAACAACTACCCTTGAAATAACAAAGGTAATGTGTAGTGAAACGAGGGCGACCAAGTACAAAAAATAAAGGAAAAAGTACTCACTCTCCAGTTGACGAGAAGGGCTAAGTACGTCTCTACCCGAAATCATACCGCTCCAACAGAAAATGAAATCAGCTGATGCGCTACCGAGCAGACGCAAAAACCACATTGATTGTCTTACACTTAATGGCACATCTTCTAACAAGGAAGGCAAAATGTTGCGTAAAAAGTCTAGGTATTGCATCCCGTCCAATCGATTTGGGAGAATAAATGGTCCAATGAGCATACCGTTCACCATGCCAGCCCAAACATTCACCGAAAATGTTTGTTGAAAATGTGCCCGACGGACAGCGTGCGGATTTTCTACTGACCAAACATGAGTGTTGCGAAAGTTATTCACCCCATTACGCGTGAACGTAGATTCGCCTGTCACCAATATGCACTTCAAAAAGTCCGGATTATTGTCATGTTGATGCAACAACCACTCACAAAACCGCACTCTTGCTGGAAAATCGTCAGGTTGAAGGGCTTGTACACGTTGGACGTGAAACGGATACAGCCCCTCTTCACGCAGCGTTTGCCACACTTTAGTTTTTGATACTTGCACTTCTCTAGACACGTCTCTAGTGCTTGTTGAGGGATTCTCGTCTACGCGATTACCTCTACACGCTTGACCGTAACCGTCGGTTGAAGGTTGCATACTGACCTGACGCACTGACCCCGACCCAGTTCTGTCGTCGGGTTGAGCCAGTGACCTTGTACCAGTCGGTGATGTCGCGGCTACAGGACGGTATTCAGATATTTTTGATGTTGCAGAGCCCTTTATCTGGGTTCCCTTAAGACATTGGTGTATATGGTACTAAGAAAAATTGCTTATGTTTTCAAGATCTACACGTCGTGTAAAGGAAAACCCCAACTTTGCGGACACCCTGTATATATATATATATATATATATATATATATATTCATTACCCAACCTAAATTTCGAAACCAAAATTTAAAATAAAAGTTTTTGATATATATATATATTGCACAAATCTATAAAAAATCATGGTTGTACAGGATATAACAATGTAGCGCCTTTTTCAATTTTTTTTTAGCTGAATTGCGCCCGTAAAAAAATTATTTTCGAAAAGATGTTTTTGCAGTTATTGACCCCAAGGGGCGACCTATCGATTTGAAAATTTAGCTAAGGCAATTTGACCGAATATACTTAAATTTGGATTGAGAAGAGTTCGAATACATTTGGGGCCAATTTTCGTTTATAGTTTCGCCTCCAGCCTTTGTGCTTATAAAACACTGTTCCTCACTTGTTAGTGTTATGCTCATTGAACAGTTAGTTTTAGAGCACGTTGAATACATCCTCTTAATTGTGTGAGAAGTGTTTTTTCAGTTTTTTCATCGACCGTTATTCAATTGTTTCGATCCGGTCTTAAATGTGCTTATAGGTCACACTCATATTGCTATCGATGGTTAAAATTCGATAAAACTAATATTTATACAGAGAAACGTTTTCTTTCATTTTTCAGATCAATGCAGTAAAAGCTTCTCAAGTATGTCTAAGGATGCCCAAGACTACAGATCGAGACAGATGAATCCGAATAACCAAGCCTACTATAAAAAGTAGCGTTACGGTACGTTCTTATTTAAACCTCAGTATATTTTACTACTTATAACTACCACAAGAAATAGCTTGTTTCCACATAAAGCGGCCAAAACACGGGAATATTAGTTTCAGTCAGGTTTAACGAATCATGTACATATTTTCCTCCTGAATACCCAAATGACATCAGGTTTTCCCTACCCTTCAGTCTACAGCTATACTGGATGTTTCAAATTCGACTAGTAATATGTGCGACATCTGTTAAATGAGGACAAAGTTGAGTACCTAGATGACTATGAAAACGAAAATTTAAATTTTTTCATGCACAAAACAGAATTTAACCACCGGCCAATTTTAATGAAAATTCTTTTAATAATAGCTCATGTTGAGCTGATCAAATGTTCCAATGAGCGCAGTTTTCTGTTGAAGGTACAGGGTGTTAAAGTTTGGTGCCTTACCCCCTGTGCCTGCACCAATTTACAAAAACTAACTCGTCTTTATTGTAGACCAAACGGTATACGAGGGATGTCTTTTAAGTTTTGCATATGGAAATAAAACAACACGGTATGCAGTTTTAAATGACTTTATTGTTTTTCGAAGTGTTCTCCACGAAGATTAATACACATCTGCATGCGCTCGAACCAATTTTCGAAGCACTTATTCCACCCGTTTGCTGGCAGATGCAAAACGCCATTTTTGAATGCGTCAACTGCTTCTTTTGATGACTGGAACCTTTGACCACGCAGTCTGTTTTTAATTTTCGGGAAAGTAAATAAATCGGACTTAGATCGGGACTATATGGAGGATGGTCCACGTTTTCTTCTGTTAAATACTGCCTTGTTTTTTGGACTGTGTGCGAGCTTGAATTGTCTTGGTGGAGGATGATTCTTCTTTCGGGGCTGATTTTTCGAAGCTCGGTGATGACTTTTGGCAAACCAATGGTGGTATACCAATCCGCAGTAACAGTTCTTTGTTCATTAAGAGGAATTGTTGCAATATGACCCGTTTTTTGACACAAATGTCGCGACCATCTTTTTCGAAACACTTCTAGAACGGATGGATGACTTTTGTTGGCTTTTCTTCACCTTGGAACACCCAAACTGCCGACTGTCGTTTATTTTCTGGTTCATGACAGTAAATCCACGATTCATCACCACTAACAATGCTGTACACATTTTTTGAGTTTCCGGAATTGAAACGGTCAAGCGTTTTTTAACACCAATTAACCTTGGCTGCATTCTGCTCTTCAGTCAACAGGTGGGGTATCCAACGAGAAACTAATTTTCTTACTCCTAATTCTTCATGTAAAATTTTTAGAATTGAGGTCTTCGAGATCTTCAAGGACGCCTCAATCTCGCGATATGTCACATGTCTATCTTCAATGATGAGTTTGCGCACAGCATCGACGTCTTCCTGGGTGACTGCCGTTTTTGGTGCACCCACCCTGGGATCGTCGCTAATACTAACCCGTCCACGTTTGAATTCTCCATGCCAACGGAAAATTGTCGACTGATGTGGCGCTTCGTTGCCGCAAACAGACAGTAACTCAGCAAGGCATTCTTGTTGCGATAATTATCTCTGAAAGTTGTAATAAATTATGGCGCGAAAATGTTCTCGGTTGAGTTCCATTTTTCTAATGACTTAGTGACACTTAAAAATTCACTGTAGTGAGAACACTGCACTTCTTGATGTGAAACTTTGAACTTAAGTTTACTAAAGAGTCAGGTTAAGATTCAGTACTGACGTTCGATCAGCGCGGCCTACTATGTTTCTATATGCAAAACTTAAAAGACATCCCTCGTAATAAAAATCACGTATACATACACAATATATACAGGATGTCCCAATGAAAATGGAAATAAGTTTAATGAAAAAACTATAAAAGATATTCGAAAACGATTTGCGTAGCTTAACTGATATCTTATAGGTGTGGATTTCCAGAATGATTGAAGACATGAAGGGTGTTGCACAATTCTGTGGCGTAATGAATATGTCTTTTGTTAATTGTGTTTTATCATGTATAATCAGATAACCATTCTAATCGGCAGTATTAAGCCTGACATCAGAAGAAACTTATAAAAACGCGAATCATTTAATTTTTTTGAACAAAACATTTTTTGCGTTTCTCAGCAACCTGAGAAACTGCAATGAAAAACTACGCAAAATAACAGAAGTCAAAGTCTTCAGGGATAGGCATTTTTTCAGAAAAATGATAAAATAGCTAAACAAATTGATGATCAAAATCCTACAGTATATCAGTCTTTTTGCAACACCTTGGATATTTCCAAATAATTTAGAGATACATACCTATAATAATCCAGTCAAAATTAAAAATAGGTATCCAAAAATTCCCACAAAGCTGAAAATTGGTACAAACCTTGAATACACCCTTACGGACAGTATATCAGAACTCCTTATTTGGGAGGAAAAGTCTAAAATATCACGTTTCGTCATATTTCTCTTAAAGGAAAAGAGATACCACAAAAATACCTTATACAAAAATTGCAGAGAATACAGGGTGCGCCATCTTTTATGTCGGTATTGAAACATCGAATGACTTTGATATTTACCAACCGAGTGATTTAGTTATACGTGTTTCTGAAACGTCTATTTACTACAATTTTAGTCATGAATCGCTTTACACTGAAACATCGCGCCGAAATAGTCACTATCCGTCGTTTGGTTTCGAATTTTTTTGAGTACGGGACAGTGGGAGATCGTCAACATACCGTTCATCAACGACCAAGGCGTTCCAATGAATTGGTTGAAGCGGTTAGAGACAGCGTTGCCCAGAACCCAAAAGTGTCGTATCGTCACCGCGCTCAGCATTTTGGCATCAGTGGAACCACGTTGCGGCGCATTTTGAAGGATGATTTGCATTTGTTTCCTTATAAAGTGCAGTTAACACAAAAATATTGCCAACTGATCGTCCACGTCGCTTGGAATACGCCCAAACAGCCGCTCGCATGGTTGATGCTGAACCTGATTTTTTGAAATAAAAGACGGCGCACCCTGTACTTTTATCCATTGAGTCATCGTTTTTTACATTTACTGATCTGCGGACTGTCAGATACTCTTCTACTTGTATGCGGCATTATGTGTATAGTCAAAATCACGAAAGATGACTATTACGTCATACCATAAATTGTACTGAAGTAATCAATGGACGTACGTCGATGATAAAATCACGAGTCAGAAACATAATGACAACAAATTTATATTATGATTTTGCGAAGTTGGGTTATTTCACTGATTATTTTTATTTTCATTTTATTTCATGGTTTTGAGTGATACCTTAATAATAATTTTAGTGGGGAGTTTTTGTTTTGAAAAAACAGTTATGAGTAAAATACCTTAAGATTGGAACACCCAAGACCAAAGTATTATTCGAAAACAACATAACCTAACTATTCATCTTTCAAATATGATCGATCATGCAACATGAAAACATCGTCTATCTTTGTCGGTTACATGCAAATTAGCAATTCAGTTTGTTTAGAAAATGAAATTCTGTTTGTCTCTGTCTAACATATCAGAAACTTCATTAGATATATTCACAAATCGCTGTCGTTTGTCTTTACTACAGACTAAAATGATTACGTAATCGTCATCTTTCTTGATTTCGACTATACCTATGCCATCGATGGTTTGATATGAAGATATATCTGGAAAAGCAAATTTGTCTGACGGCTTGAGTTCAATGATAGAAAGAGATAGAAGCCGGCTGAAAAGCGAAGGTCATCACCACATTGCCTAGCAACGGTGACGCAGAAGGTCTGGCAATTTGTCACGTTGCCAGTATGTTGCACCTGAAAATGTTCGCACAGGCTTCTACAATAAGTTAGGTTACTCTCAAACCCTAGAGGAAGGTGTGTTCAAACATTTAATATTTTGTTTTCATTTTGATAAGAATTATATATTTAGTTTTTTGTTGTTTTAATTTATTTTAGAATTTTCTTTGATTTCCTCCGATGGTGATAAAATCATCACATCCTGAGTGATTGTTACATTTTGCGACAGCGAGCGGTGAAACAAATACCATTACGCGATAGAGATTAGCATTGCCTGCATGTACCCAGGTGAAAATCCCACTTCGAATCAGGACGACAATGATCGCTAGATGGGTTCTGACTAAAATCACTCATCTTTCTATGATCATGGAGGTGGAAACCTTGCCATGGAATGTACGAGATGCGGTGTGGCCAAACGAGCCAATGTTGCAGAATTTGTGGCGAACCTGACTGAACAGATTCGACACAATTCACAATATAAAACCAGACTTTACAATTATTTCGAGGAAATTTGCTAATATGATTAGACTAATTTCGAAGCAAGGCGATACACCCCTACGAGCGCTAGATGGGTACTGACAAAATGGCTCAACTATGATCATGAAGGTGGACCGCTTGCCTTGGAATGTACTGTGTCATCAAACGAGTCAATGATGACGCAATGTTGCAGGAGTTGTGGGGATCCTGACCATTCATTTTGACCTAGCTTGCTATCCAGCCGGCTTCTATCTCTTTCTAACACTTTTCTCTCATACACATTGAACTCAAGCCGTAAAACAAATTTGGTTATGAGTCCATATGTTTTGTGTCTTAGTGTGTTTTGTTAAAGATTCGCAGTGGAAGTGTTGCAACTATGTACTCATATAAAAATACTTAGTTAAATACACAAAAATGGGTGAATTTTGGACAAAAATGCAGAATTGCAGATTCCGAGGTTTCAAAAAAATTATCCAGCACTAAGATAAAAATAAAAATGTCGACGAAAGATTGAAATGAACATATGTTCTAAAATATTTAAATGCAAAAATTTCCTACATGCGATCAAATTCAAATTTGAGTTATTTTGAGATCTGACAATTCCGCTTATAAACCCTGATCCATTCAATGGCATTCAAATTGTCACCGACATTGGGTGCTGCGGAAGCCCTTCCGTTTTCTGAATGCACCTATTCTTCAGGTTGTCAGAAACAAAAATGGTTATTTTCTTGAAGAGGATCAAACAATGCATTCTAGTCCTCGTAAGCGAATCAAAAATACCGATTCTTTGATTAAAAAACGCTGAAGATTCGTTGATTTAATTAAGAAAGAGTTAATGCCAAAAAGTATCAGCATTACATTTAGTAGCTAGTATTGATTATTTTTTTTCAAATTTGCTATTTGTTTCAGGTGGTGGTTACCTCTGCAATCCATATATAATGATCTGCTCCATGGGATAAACCAGTACATTTTGCTACTTTTTCAGTAGTAATGCTTTAGTCTTATCTTTATAGGGATTAGAAAGCATGTTTAGGTGTTTCTCTAACATATGTATATCCCAACAGATAATGTTACGTTGAATAATATATGAAATATTATAGGCACAGTACTTCATCGCTAATATTTCACAACTCAAGCGTCATAGGAATCATTGTAAATGATAACACTATAGCTTTTTGTTCCCCTCCCAACGGAAGAGCGATCAAATCCCGCCTATAAACGAGGACAATACCTAGTCAGTGATACTATATGCATATCAGGTGATGTTTAGACTGGGTAATATTAGTATATTAGCAGACTGTATACATATTAGAGTTGTTCCTAATCATTGAAGAATATATGTTCAAATTCTACCAATGAGAAGGCATCTTAAACTAGTGAATAATTAAACGGTTTGTGTAAAATGGGTGCCAATTCCCATATTAAATCAGAAATACGTCATAAATCACTTGGTTTAGCTACAAAATCCTATTTTTTCCTTGGCATCCGAACACTGTTAGCGACCATGGTCATAAAATGCATAAATGGAAAATCTGATACTATTTCTAGATTGATATGACAGCAATTAAATGATCATTTTATTGGAAGGAACAGTGACTCACTTTTGCTGTACTAAATTCTGCTTGACAAATTCTTTGAGGACATAAATAAAATTACAGAATGCTTATTCTTTAACTGACATCGATCAATATTCAACTAACTTGCTAAATCATGCGAAAAACCCTGTTCCTTGAGCCAACCCTGTTAACAGAGAGCTCAAGGACGACCTACTTCTTACTGTTAACAGGGAGATATGGCGCACTCTATTGGACGGTAGCACGACTACGCGACCGCGCCGCACCGCGGTGACGGTGGCAAGGGTAGGAGTAGTCGCCCTACTGGGCAGTAGAGGGCGCGAGACCTCCCTGTTAACAGGGCTGGCTCAAGGAACCGGATTTGTCGCACGGTAGTCAAGCAAATAGATTATTTACCCGATGTTTGTTAGAGTTAAAACCTGGAGTATATGATACATATCAACAAAACTTAGGTCCTCGATCGTCAAATTGTTGGGCTTGTGTTGATCAGTAAACCAATAATAAGGGCGGACGAATTGAGAGCCGCCTTTGCTGTGACGCGGCTTGAATGACATTTGAAGAGGGTTACTCAAAACTTACCCTCTTCAATAAAAAAACGGGATATATTAACGGAATGCCGTTATGAAAACTAGAAGGTATAGTGAAGTAATCTGAGAAAAGCAATATTAAATGTACAGATATTTTATGATTTTGTAGTTTAGTTGTGCTGAGGCTATCATCTGACTAGATAGGGAATTGAAAGATTTAATAGACTGACGAGGTGACTGTATTTATTATTACGCTTATTTATTCTTACGTATAGCAAATAATTCGAATCAAGAGTATAGTATATATGTAGTATATATAGTATATAGTACTTTGAAGTTGAGTCATTAATTTTCAGATAATGATTGTAGAAGGAAGATAAACCAAAATATGTGTGTAAAAATAAAAAAAATAAAAAAAATGTTACCTTTTTTTATAAAGTATCCTCCCGACAAGTATTTCAGTGCGGACCTGTATTTGATCGTGCGGTCTTGGAGCACCGGCATGCCCTCCCCTGTGAGGTCTTAAGTCACCTGATTCACGAGCCCTTTGTACTACATTAACAAAGGCCGCGGCAGCATTTTGTAAAGACTCCCCCCCTCCGTAAATAAGAATCATGTCCACAAGTTCAGCATTTTCGTAAACATGTGCCATTTTTTATTTCGTTTGAGCCACGCAACAAACACCACTATTCACTCACGCGTTACCGACTGACACATTGACTGAATACAACTGAATAAAATTGTAGCAAAAACATCGTGATAAGCGTTTCAAATTCTTTCGCTTTTTTGTTTCCGATGCGATGAACCGATAAGGCGGATTATATCCGTTGTTGCCAAACACGAGCACATAATATTATTATTGAGACAGGGCGGTACTCAAACTTCTAAAGGGCTATAACTTTGTTACTTTAATTTTACCACAAAAATGTTAAAGGAAAAAACATTTCTTTTGATCAGATCTACTCACTGTTAAAATAAATGACTCAACTTCGAAGTATATGTCACTAATTTATATTGTACGAATTTTTGTATTTATTTATGTAATGGGAAGTCCGGGAAGTATTTCCGGCATGTAATTCCCAAATTATCTCTTTAGAATGCACGAAACGTTTCCAGTTGTACTAAAAATGGTTAGCAATATACACGACTACTAAAATAAACTTATTTTAATTCTTGCCCCTTTCCCTATCATTTCTTATGTTCCAGATAACAAATACATTTGCATTACTCTAGAGACTCTAGACCCAGATCATAAAACACCATATGAACCTTCACCCATACTTCAAAACCAGCATTTTACTCCATACTCCAGGCAGATTACCGCCAAAAAGCCCCTAGGTAGATATTTTCTAAAGTAGCTGAGGTTTCTTTCAGGACCCTGCGTATAATAATATCGAGATGCGCCAGTCTGCGGAAACCGGTAAAAAATAGAAAAAGCGATTCTTGCTGGTACTAAAAATTAAGCACGTCTCACGATCTGGCTTGGTAATGTTTACACCAAGATACAGCAATATAACATTTTCTTGGGAAAAATGCCAGACTTGGTTTTAGATTACTCATATTTGTACATGGTGTCGTGTTATTGAGACACATAGCAAAATCACATTTTTTTACAAACTACTCTATTTTTTGTATCATATTTGGATTGATCCAGAAAAGATCAAAATGTTTTTTTAAATTCCATGTTTCTAAGCGATTTTCGCACTACGTCAGTCATGCGCATATCGAATTCATGTTATATAAGACGAAAACCGGTTGAGAAAATGAAATTCAAAAATCGCAATTTTTGCTTGTACTTTTCCTGTTTTATATTATTCAATGTAATGGTTTCAAAGCAACACCGACAAGGACTTTTTTACTTGTTTCAATATAGCTGATACATTGTTTTATAATGTTACATGAAGAGGACATAGTAAATTCACCGTGAAAAATTAAGCAAAACTTTCAAACAACGCGAAGAATATTTGCACAGATAGTTATAAGTATACTAAGTGACATATAAATCCTAACACCCAGTTTGAATGGTTTTATTTTAATAAAAGTTGGTGAATGTATTTATCTTACTGTAAATAACAAGTGAAAAATTTTCAGCCTTATCAGTTGGACATTCCGGTTTTTAATCTGCTTTTTTTTAATTCACTAACGCTCTAAAAATGAATATTTCAGCCGCAGTAAAGAATCAACGTTGGCGGATTTTGGTTCTTAACATCCTTTACGATCGGTTACGATGCCTAGAGTACGGAGACCTGTACGATTTCATCAACTTAGTGAGTTTGATAGGGGCCGTATAGTGGGACTTCGGGAAGCTGGACTTTCTTTTCGGGCAATTGCAGTTAGGGTGCAAAGAAGTGTAGACACTGTGGTTAGGTGTTGTCAGGCATGGCTTCGAGAAAGCCGTACGCAAAGAGCAAGGGGCACTGGACGCCGCCGTAGAACAACAGACCGTGAAGATCGCCGCCTAAGATTATTGGCCTTAAGGGACCGTTTCTCCACTACCAGGTCCATTGCAAATGAATGGTTTGCAGAACACGGAAGACCTATTGGCATGCGAACTGTTTACCGACGAATGAGAAGTTTTGGCTTGTTTTCATACCGGCCACACTGGGTCCTCCCTTTAACTCGAGAACACCGACGTAATCGCCTTGAGTGGTGCAGACAACGGTCACTCTGGGATCAGGAATGGAACAGTATTGTCTTTAGTGACGAGTCTCGATTTTGTTTAGGCATGCACGATGGTCGTGCCAGGGTTAGAAGGCGACGTTGTTAAAGGAGGAATCCACAGTTTTTTGTTGAAAGACATGTTCATCACACTTTTGGAGTTATGGTTTGGGGTGCTATAGCTTATGGTTCCAGGTCACCTTTAATCTTCATCAGAGGTAACATGAACGCGCAGCGTTATATCCACGAAGTTCTAGAACCTCATCTTTTACCCTATCTCGACACCCTGGCAGATCCAACTTTCCAACAAGATAATGCCCGACCACATGTTGCAAGAGTCACAATAGACTTCTTTCAACATAATGATGTCACATTGTTACCATGGCCACCAAGATCTCCCGACTTATCCCCAATTGAGCACGTGTGGGATATGATGGGTAGGAGATTGCTCAATTTGCAACGTCCTCCGCAGACTCTAGCAGCACTTCGAGAGGAGTTGGTGGTTGCCTGGAATGAGATACCACAGGAGGACATTGACCACCTGATCAGAAGCATGCCTAGGCGAGTTGGAGAATGCGTAGCACATCAGGGTGCATCCACACATTATTAAAGGTCAAAGGGCTTTGAAGCAGTGCAATTATTTTGAAATTTCTATCATTTACTTATTATGCTTCATTAAGTACTTATACAAAATTTTATTAAAATAAAACCATTTAAACTGGGTGTTCGGATTTATATGTCGCTTAGTATAGTTCCATTAATTTGTCTATAGGGTTATAACTCATAATACGATTTACCCAAGTCAAATTACGCATTTATGAGCAAATGTGATCAATATTGGATCATTGAGAAATCACGATAAGGTGATATTCAGGCACAGGTATTACATATCTTGAAAAGTGACATTATGTACGATTTTTTTGACATTATATTGGTTTTTTGTGACATTATGCAGGTTTTTCTACAAGATGTTAACTTAGCACTAGCTGACGGATACGTTGTGAACTCCTTTTGTAGTTGTACGTGCTGCACTGATGTGATGTAAAATCTGCTTCAGAGATGGCACTAATGGAGGTAACGGCAATGCATAGGTGCATAGTGTGGATTTGTGTGCTAATAATATGTGTTGATGATAATTCCATTGGGTTCTTGTCTCAAATACACTGTCAAATTATGAGTGATATACATGCATCACAACAGTAATTACACACAACGCGCCGCGGTGGTTTTTTCCCGTAATTCTCCTCAAAATTTTTGAGAACACAAAAACACGTAGAAAATCGTAATTTATAACTTTGAAAGGACAACATATAAATAACCCGTCGTTTGGCAGCATATTCAATAATGATTTTCTCACACAGCAAATATCACTGATTTTATACACATGCAGAGAAAAAAACCACAATCATCCAGATGCGATCTTGCTATTCAACGATCTGTTTTCTCAGAGATGAAAACTATAGACTACTCAGTTTCGCAAAACATATGCAACTAACAATGCGTGTAGTTGAGCCATTCCTCCATAGATGGACGCTCACAACGATCGTAGTTAGCAAACGTGGACTGACTGTTTGCACGCTAAAATCTACCCAGTCTGCAAGATGGCGTTTTTTTTTTGATGTTTAATAGGCTTTTTACATGATACCCGTGCGGTTCTCCAAATTGCATGGCGTTCTCAAGTCGTTACGCAGATATGACGTTTATATTGCTTTGGATGCATTATATGGTAGATGTCACAGCTTGCCGACTTCAAAATGCATAGCACGTATTTTAGTTTTCTCTTGATATTTTGGGTATATTTAGTTGACTTCTGGTGAATCAGATTTATTTTTCTCTACTCATTGGCAAAGTCTTTTGGCCATAACATACAATAGATTTCTTAGAATCCTCCATTTTTTGCGTATCTGTACAAATGAATCAGAGGTTCTAACCTGGGACGCCCTTTTCTCCGATTTCATGCTAGGTGCAGATACCCCCACTGCATTTAGCACGGCAGAATAACAACTACCCAAATTGGAAATAATCACTTTATTTTTCACAGTTAATATTTCCCCAAGTAAATTATCTACTTTCTTAGGTTTTGTAGCCTAGGTGCTGACAGTTTCACCTTTCCAGGAATATTTCTAGCTAGTTGCTCATCCTTAACAGCTTTTAGAAGGTCTCTTTCTCTTGGCGTGACTGTACGCTCTTTAAGGAACATCGCCACAGCTGTTTTAGCAGCTTTACCTCGCTTCCCTGTACCTGGCGTCAACTTTACCTTGAATCTAAAAAATAGAGAATTTTGAGTTTTATCCAAAAAGTAATGCCTGTGTACTGAATCATGTAATAAAAATGGATGATGTATAAATTATGTAATGTAGAAAACATTTCATTCATGAATTTTTTTAAATCAGCAGATTCACAAAACTGTAAGAAAATGAATGAAAAAATGAAAAATTGATTCTTTGAATAAAAAGCTGATTGCTTACTTGTAATTAGATAGTGTATTGTATGGAGCAACTACAGGCACCGCAAACAACAACTCATCTTCACTAACAGGAATACCAGACAAAGAATCAATCATATCAACGTCAGCTTGAACGGTAGGTTCCTCATCATCCCCTTCTTCACCTGGCTCCTTGGGAACCACAGGCCTTGGTTGCCTGGGTTCTTGTTTCCTTTTCACGTCAGAGGAACCGTCTTTGTTTTTCTTATTCTTTTTGTTGTCTTTGGACGAACCGGAAGACTGTAAGATATCCATCCTCAATTTCCTCTCTTCGTCATCTTGGTCTTTATACTTTTCTTTGATCTTCTTCAGTTTGCTTTTTTGGCCTCTTTTCTGTTGCACCTGTTGCTGTTTGGATTCTTTAAACTCAACTAAAATGATATGTTGAATTAAAAATCTAACCCCGTGTTTTGATTACTATTTATCGTGACAAACATAAAAAACTGGTTTATTTTTGGATCACATATGCGACTTGTCTAATCAGCAATAACAAACATATTGTCATGTTTGCCATAAGGGTGAATGTATTTATTTGAATATATATAAGAAAATATTTATCTCGGAATAAACCAAAGTGTACGTCATATTGCATTCATACCTTTTTTATCCTGGTCCTTAGGTTTTTTATTTTTAGATTCGCTATTTCCTCTACTTTTAGAGCCCTTTGAAGTTACAATAATAGGCTTGTCGTCTCCTAAGTAAATTACATTGTCGATATCTTCATCTTTCAGTTTATTCCCAATATTTGAAGGCTCCGTTAAGATGTTAATCCTTGAATTTAAAAAATGAAAAAAATAGTAATGTTTGCATACTGCGCCAAAAGA